CATAACACCAGTATTGCAGGAATACCCTACTCCAATAAAACAGGCTTATTGAAAATGCACATTGATTCTCTGCCAGCAGGAGGCGCTTTTGGAACGGCAAAAATAGAACCCCGGTTTCCCCGGTAATGGAAGTAAACAAAGCAGCCAGTACCGGAATTTGAAACTTGCAGCGCTCATGTTTATTTAATAAAATCATAGCCTTTTGAAGTTTAATCGTCACATTAAGCATATCGTGGTCTCTCCATCCCCAAATTGAATACCTCCTGAAATCATAATTCAGGCTGATGATACACTGGGCAACTATTTGAGCAATGTTGCTGGGCAACTTTGGGAAATGTTGCCGTCAATGGGCAACAAGGTGAGACACAGAGCCCACAGCCGATCTAAAATATCCAGATAGGAATATGTTACCCATTCTCAATGGAAAAGAGCCCAAGCAACATGAAAAAAAATCATGAAGCTCTAAAAAAAGTTGCCCAACAAAATTGCTCAAAAATTTGCCCCGTGTATCATCAGACTAAGACTTTCTTGTATAATTTAAGACTTTTTATGGCCTTAAATTTGATACAACTAAATTTAGTTAAATTTAGTCTTGGTCTTGGTCTTTCCAAGATGGCGCCGACGCTGATGGCTGCCTCCGTGGCGTGCTCCGCAGTTGTTTTTATGTTTTTGTTAGTTTGTCCTGTCTTTAGTTATATCCCTGCAATCAGTTTCACCAGAGACGAATTGCTGGACATTCGGAAGTACACACCACCCGATATTTCACCGGTTTTCGATTATTCTGATGTTTTGCTGGACACGCAGTTTATACAAGCGCTTCAGGACGTGCAGACGGGGGAAGAGAGCCGGCGCACTCGTGAAGCTCAGGAAGCGCGGATTCAGAACGCCGTTGCCTAGCATCCATCTGGCGAATCTCCGCTCTCTACCCAACAAAACGGATGAGCTCCTTCTGCTCTCCCGGACAAATAAGGATTTTTCAAACTCTGCTGCTCTGTGTTTCACAGAAACCTGGCTGAAAGACGCCATTCCGGACAGCGCGTTGAGTCTGCCGGGCTTTCAGCTGTTCAGAGCAGATCGCGACGCAGAATCAACGGGGAAATCACGCGGCGGCGGGACACGCTTTTACATCAATGAGAGGTGGTGTACAGATGTAACTGTGTTAAAGAAGATGTGCTGTTCAGATCTAGAAGTGCTCTTCATTAACTGCAAGCCGTTCTATTCGCCGCGGGAGTTTTGCTCGTTCATTCTCGTCAGCGTGTACATTCCTCCGCAAGCACACGTGAGCTCCGCTTTACAGAAACTCGCTGATCAGATCACAGAGACAGAACAACAACACCCGGACTCTGTTTTAATCATTCTCGGGGACTTTAATAAAGCAAATCTCTCCCGTGAACTGCCAAAATACAGACAGCACATCACATGTCCCACCAGAGACAGTAATATATTGGATCACTGTTACACCACAATAAAGAATGCATATCACTCTGTTCCACGGGCAGCTTTGGGGCTCTCTGACCACTGTTTGGTCTCTGAACTGTGAAACTGAAATCAGCTAAACTGTTAAGGACTGTAAAAAGATGGACTAATGAAGCAGAGCAGGATTTACAAGCTTGTTTTGACCTCACTGATTGGAGCGTCTTTGAAGCTGCTGCCACCGATCTGGACGAGCTCACAGAGACTGTAACATCTTATATCAGTTTCTGTGAAGACATGTGCATTCCTACCAGGACTCATTTAACTTACAACAATGACAAACCATGGTTCACTGCAAAACTCAGACAGCTCCGTCAGGCCAAAGAAGATGCTCACAGGAAGGGGAATAATGTCTTCTGTCTATTGTTATATACCTGTACATACAATTGTCGATTTGTATATTTTTTATTCCTTATTTTACTTGTTCTATTTTTTATTTATTTTTATTTTTTATTATCTGTGTTTTTTTTTTTGTTCTGTCACTGTCATTCTGTTACACTGTGGAAGCCTCTGTCACGAAAACAAATTCCTCGTATGTGTAAACATACCTGGCAATAAAGCTCATTCTGATTCTGATTCTGATTCTGATTTAAGACTTTTAAGACTTTTTAAGGACCTGCGGGAACCTTGAAATTGAATTTATTCCTGTGATGACAAAGCTGAATTTTCAGCAGCCATCACTCCAGTCCTTCAGTGTCACATGATCCTTCAGAAATCATTCTATTATGGTGCTCAAGAAACATTTCTTAGAAATAGTTGTTCTGCTTATTTCAGGATTCATTGATGAATAGGAAGTTCAAAAGAACAGCAAATATTTGAAATAGAAACATTCTGAAACAGTCTTTACTGCAACTATTGATCAATTTAATGCATCCTTGCTGAATAAGTGTTTTCATTTGTTTTGGGTAAAAATGCTTTTAATGGTAGTGTAATTATAATCTACAAAACGCTTTTGAGTGTGTGTGTGTGTGTGTGTGTCTGTGTGTGTGTGTGTTTAGCAAACTAATTTTGAAAAAAATTTAACTGTGGGCATCCAAAACATCCTCATTTGTAAAAACAATATAGAAATAAAGTAAATTGTGTTTTTTTCAGTTAGGGTGAGAATGTGTATTTGTACATTAAATAACAGAAGTCAAGTAAAGCTGTGTGGACGAGAGAGAGAGAGTGCAAGAAATTAGTAATTGGATTAATATTTGTATTTTCTTTATCCTTGTATATAAAGCTTCATTTATTAAATGTGAGTGAAATGTAGCCACAACAAATTTCTCAGTGAAATACAAGAGTGCCTGAAAGCATTTGTTGCATTCCAAACAATTAAGCAGAAAGCTGCCTTTAATCTCTGCACTTGTAGAACATTGGTTATCATCAGAAAATGTGCTGTAATTGAACTGAAGTTTACCACTGCAGGCAGGTCAGAATAACACACACCTACACACACTGAGATGCATTATTTCTCTTGCTCCCTCTCTCTGAACCATTTATATAAAGCTTAAACTTATATGCACAGAATTCAGAACACACTCATAATTCACTGTGCTGTTACTTGAAAATAAGTACTTAGCCCAAACTATACTGCAAAATGGAAAAACAAAACAAAACCACAGGTTGAGTGTTCCATTAGTGCCATTAGTGTGTCGACCGGCATGAGACTGTCTTCAACAAGTATGTATGTGTGTGTGTGCGTATGCATGCACTTACGAGAGCTGTAGAAAATCTGTTACATGAAGGCTGACTCTCTCAGCTAACAGCTCCATGAGGCTCAGCCCCTGGTCAGTGGACAGCGAACTAGGTATGGACAAAAAGGAGAAGAGAAATAAAGAAAGAACAATTAGCTAGATCTGTACATTTTCACAAGAAAATGTGGTGCTACAAAGCTACGGTGTTGTGGGTGGTTGCCAGGGTGTTGCTATGGGTTTACAAAATGTTCTATGTAGTTTTTATAGTGTAGCCATGCAGTAGCTAAACTCTCTGGGAAAAAAAGATACAAAATCTGCCACTGGGCTAATACCCTTTCAGAAGGTACACCTTTGTGTATTTGAATTTGTATTTGAACATTTGTATCTAAAGTGTATGGATTAGTACTAGGGGTGCTCCGATTGATCGGCTACCAATTACTATCAGCCGATAATCACATTGGGATGTTTGATCGGCGGTCTCTAAAAAGGCCGATCTCAAAAAACCGATCTCAAGCTGATGACGCTGCCGTGAGAGGTTTGGCATGACATGCAGCGGCACCGTCTCAGTCTCTGTCCGGCGCAGGTGAAATAATTATAATGCTATATTTCTTCATTAAATAACTTATAAAGTAATTTGAAAACCTTATGTGAGACGTAACTTCACAAACAGCGTGAGTGAATCCCCTCTCACAAGAGACACCTAAGAGGGGAATTCCCCCCATTTTCAGGCCCTGAATAAATGTCTAAAAATCCTGATTGGAGTATCACTATATATAGTTATAAATGATAAAAAGAAGGCTTTAAAAAGATTGGTATCGGTGATCGGTATCGGCAGATACTGCTTTCTGTGATCGGCCTCAAAAATCCTAATCGGAGCACCCCTAACTAGTACCTAAATGGTACGTATCAGTTCAGTACCCTTTCAAATCCCCATGGAAAGCTTCTGTACCTTTTTTTCTGACAGTGTAGGTGGTTGATTATTGGCAATAATAATAAATAAAAAAAAAATCATAAGTCTCTGATACTCTGATCTGGCTCAGGTCTCTTTCACTTTAAGTCTATAAGATGTTTTTTTTCCACCCGTTTTATTGTCTGTCAGGCAAAAATCTAATTATTTAAAAGAGTACATACTGTAGTACATTTGTTCTGCTCAATTTAAGGTATGAATCATGTCTATAGCGTAGTTACACTTACACATCATAATTTTTATATTTAGGGCTAAAACAAAGGTTCTCATCCTTGAGATTGCAGTAATTAACACAATTGTTCTAGGATGAACATGACCAAATCTGCAAAATATAACAATTAATATTTCAAATATGGCTTTCAACACCAGCACTTAATATAAAATAGATTAAAATTAGGTCTGTCATCAATATGAGAACATTTAAAATTCAACTATGCAGATCTGGGTGCTGCTAGATGAATGCCATAACAGAAACAATACTGAACACAGCTCACAGGAGGTATACAGAGAGCAGAGAGTGCATAAAAACACAGGGGATAGGACACAGGTGGCTTGTATGCTTTGATAAATCACCTGTATTTTCCAGCAATGAGGCAAACAATAAGGTGTAAATGGAATCCCTGTGAAGTGTGATGTCTTTATGATATGGCCACGCCAGCCCGAGTTAAAACACACACATTCACTCACACATCAGAGCACGTGCAAACACACAAAGCAACTTGCACACAAGCCTGAAGAATGATATGCATCCAAATGGAAACGTATTCACACACATGAGAAAGAAAGTGAGAATTAGAAGATGCTAGAGTGCAACTGTTTTCCTGATGCTTTTTCACGCCTACCACTGCCTTCCAATACACACTTACAAACTTTTAAATCTCCTTTTTGAGAATATGTCTGTGTGTTTTCAGGTACTCCAAGATAAATGGGACTGCAGTAAGTGAGCCTCTGTGAGATAAATCAAGTTATTGGAGATGCAGTGGCTGTGGATGCCAACATCTTTCGCTTTGAGAAATGTACACAACACACACAACCATTTACACACTAACACTAATATACACACAAGAGGACAACTGAGGGAAACCAAATAAATTGCAATATGGAATGCAGTAACATAAACTGAGCATGAACACTGAATGACAAAAGAAAATATGACTGCAAGAGTTAAAAACTCGATGCATAGAAATCATAGTAACCATGTAAAACTACAGATGACTCCTTATTACCATTGTTAGATAAATGTACCTACAATTTCTATAAAACATACACTGATCCTGTGATTACAATGTTGCCTCATATGTAAATTAATACTTTTATTGAGAAAAGCTGCATTAAATTGATCAAAAGTGACAAAGACATTTATGATCTTACAAAAGATTTCTATTTCAAATAAAATCTTTTATACTGTACATTCAGCAAAGAATCTTGAAAATAGTGTATCACAGTTTCCACAAAAATATTAAGCAGCAAACTGGTTTTCAACAGTGATAAGAAATGTTTCTTGAGTGCTAAATCAGCATATTAGAATGATTTCTGAAGGATCGTGTGATCGTATGAGTAATGTCTGCTGAAAATTCAGCTTTTCCATCGCAGGAATACATTACATTTTAAAATATGATCAAATTAAAAACAGTTATTTTAACCCATAATAATATATTTCACAATATTACTGTTTTTACTATATTTTTAATCAAATAAATGCAGCCTTGGTGAGCATCAGAGACTTCTTTCAAAAGCATACTATAGATCCATGTGCCCTTCATGAGTGCAAACATCTTGTTCCTCATCACGACAGTCTATGTAAGTGTTTCTATACAATATATACTTACTCTTCAGTAATAATGTAGCCAAAGTCTCCATCATGTGGACTTGAATACGCTGCAACATTCACTTCCACTCTCACACCCTTCTTTTCCACCTCCTCTTTCTCCATGGATTTTTTTTGTGGCTCTTTTCCTGGTTGAACCTCTGGTTTCACTTCCGGAGAACCGTGCATCCACTGTTCTACCTCAGCGTCCACCAGTGGCTCTGTCTCCAAAGTGTCAGGTTCCATTTTCTTCCTCATCAGGTCCAGTTCTGTTTGTGTTGTCCGGCTCTGGACATTCTCCAAACTAGCCCTCAACGGGCTTCCGGCATTTGGCTGGTCGACGTACCCCAGAAAAGGCTCTTCTGCTTGGGAAAGATGCACAGATCCAGGGCCAGAGTTATGATCCAGGAACTCCAGCAGCTGGCTGATAAAACCTTTGTCCTGGAAATAGAAAATTAAACTGGGAATTCTATTGACTTTATCACAAAGATATATCATGAGTCACATGGCCCTGTGTATTTCCATATATTACCTCGTCATCAGATTTAAGGGCAGTATCTTCTGCTTCTGTAAACAGAATTTTAAATTATGGTAAAGATTATGGCTCTTGATTGATCAAAAATTGTTCTACTTAAGGCCTGTAACTGGGGTTTTAAAGCATGTGTAACCAGGAACTAATCAAATATTTATCTTTGTTAAGGGGTTACTACCTTTATGTGTGGTGTCATCTGCTTTCTCCATCTGATGTAACCCTTGACTGGGCTCTCTCTTTGCCTCCACTTCATCCTGTGTGGCTTCTCTACCTTTGACCCCATCCACTCCATCCACCACCTGCAGGGCCTGGGTGATGACCCTGGAGAGCTTGTCCAGGTCCTTCGGGGTCAAAGTATCCACCCTGACGCTCTGACGTCCGAGCTGGTTAACCACTCCATCAATGAACTTCTCTGAGAGAAACAGAGGCAAGGATAGAAAACGATAGAAGGATAGAATCTGGTAAAGTATTTTGCAAGTGTACAAGAACCACCCTGCTATGACCCCTATTTGATTAAAAAAAGTATAAGAGCAAACTCATCATGGAACTGTCAGTGTTTGTGTGCAATCCAATAAATGGGATAATTGCTTGCCACATTATGCTTAATTCATCTGACGTAAGTATTTGGAGCCAAACTGTGTTTCTCATCTCTACCTCAGTCTCTTTCTCAATTAAGGTAAATTTATACTTTATAATTTAATAATTGTTTTTTTTATTATTATTATTTTGGGGTACAAATTATCATAATGATATTGTTTCCTCAGTCACTTCAGACTGATTCTGAACATGGATAATTATAATGCAAATACTCATCACAACCAATGCATAAAATGAGTTTGACTGAACATAATATGAGAACTGAATTCTTTATTTGTTTTTCCTGGCTTCTTTTTTTAATGCATATAAAAATATTTATGTAAATATATAACATACAGCTTTGGAAAAAATTCCACTCGAAAAGACCACTCAAATTTTTTCTTAAATCAGCATCTCTACATGTATGGCAGCCATTCCATTCCAGTGTCTGTTGAATTCCAACACAGGCATACCTCATTCTGTTTAATGAAGTACCGATTAGGTGATCACCTCAACCAAATCTTATTTAACGAGGAAAAGTATAAAAACCACTGCTGTGGTCATGAATATCCTCTTTTAATAGGACCAGCTGGATGGCAAAAACAGTGCTAGCAGTACCTCAAAAGTAATTGGAATCAAATAATAATGATTGACCATGCCAAAAGAGTTGAAAAGAAACATTTTTGGTGAGGAAAAGAAGGGTTTAAAATTCTGGCTTTACTGGCAGAGGGATACAGTGAGTGTCAGGTTGCTTCCATCCTTAAAATTTCAAAAACAGCAATTCTTAAGAACAAGGTCAAGCTGCAGACATTGGGGACAACAAAGCTGAAAACCACTCTCGACTGACCGGGATGACCGCCAACTCATTTGAATGTCACTCAACAACCTGTAGGATAGCATAAAGTGTCATACAAAAAGAATGGCAAACCGCAGGTGGGGTGAAGTGCACGGTGAGGACGGTTTGAAAGCAGAGCTGAAGTTGTGCAGAGCTTGAAGAAAGCCCTTCATCAATGAGAAGCAAAGAAGAGCCAGGCTGAACCAGACCATAAGGATTGGACATTCTCTGATGAGTCTAATTTTCAGCTTTGCCCAACACCTGGTCATCTAATGGTTATACGAAGACTTGGCCTACAAGCCACAGTGTCTCACACCCACTGTGAAATTTGGTGGAGGATCGGTGATCTGGGGTGCTTCAGCAAGGCTGGAATCGGGCACATTCGTCTTTATGAAGGTCGCATGAATCAAGCCACATACAAAGTTGTCCTGAAAAAAAAAACTTGCTTCCTTCTGCTCTGACAATGTTCCCCAACTCTGAGGACTGTTTTTTTCCAGCTAGACAATGCCACACAGCCAGGTCATTCGAGGTGTGGATGGAGGACCACCAGATCAAGAGCCTGTCATGGCCAGCCCAATCTCCAGACATGAACCCCATTGAAAACCTCTGGAATGTGATCAAGAGGAAGATGGATGGTCACAAGCCATCAAACAAAGCCAAGCTGCTTGAATTTCTGCATGAGTGGCATAAAGTCACCCAACAGCAATGTGAAAGACTGGTGGAAAGTATGCCAAGACGCATGAAAGCTGTGATCGAAAATCAGGGTTATTCCACCAAATACTGAACTCTTCCTAAGTTAAAACATTAGTACGGTGTTGTTTAAAAATGCATATTAACTTGTTTTCTTTGCATTATGTGAGGTCTGAAAACATTATTTTCATTATTTGAGGTCTGAAAAAGCATATTTTTTGTTATTTTGACCAGTTGTCATTTTCTGAAAATAAATGCTCTAAATTACAATATGTTCATTTGGAATTTGGGAGAAATGTTGTCAGTAGTTTATAGAATAAAACAGACCATGTTCATTTTACTCAAACACATACCTATAAATAGTAAAACTAGAGTAACTGATAATTTTGCAGAAGTCTCGTTTTTTTCCAGAGCTGTATATACATACACACACACACACACACACACATATATATATATATATATATATATATGTGTGTGTGTGTGTGTGTGTGCGTGTGTGTATATATATATATATACAGTATATACACATAAATAAGAAGGATTAGCTCACCATCTACTGAACTGAGGGCCTCCTTGTAAGCAAGCATGCTTGTTGAAGATTTGAAAAACAATTTTTCTATTTGGGGCTTTGGAGGTTGCTTGGAAGCTCCTGGCAGTTTTTCTTTTTTGGTTGCAGAAGTGCGCTGAAGGCTGGAGTACTGCACCTTTCCCTGTGTTTGACCTTTACCAGGATCTTGTGCTCTCATGGGCCCAGCTTGATACTGCTGAAGCTCAGCAAGAGGGACTCCAGTATGATCCTGCTCAAAACCAGTGAAGTATGATCGACCTGGGGGAGGCTGTTCCACAATGGCCGGGAGATCAGGTTGGCCTTGTAGGAAGAAGATGTGGGGCGAGGGAGTCTTCTCTTTGAGGTGAATTACACCCTTATGATTGCGGGGCCCATCTCCCTTGTACTATGGTAGAAGAATAAATAAATATGTAAACAAATAAATAAATAAACAAAGAATTTGGCATGCAAAACAGAAACAGTCCTCTTACCAAACCTATAATATACATATGGTTAATGTTCCCTCTAATTTTTTCTTGCCGAGCAAAACTTTTCTCTAGGGATGCACCGATACCACCTTTTCCAGTACTCGCCCGATACCGATACTTTTATTTTTGGTACTTGCCGATATTTCTCTATTGGGCAGACATTTCAGCCACCTGAACTTTGATTTGAGCTTTGATGTAACTAAATGATGATTTTAGGTTACCTGATTTTTTACAGTGCTGTTACCAAGAAATTCAATTAAAAAATCATTTAAAAAATCTTATACAGAACAGTTCAGTTCTTTATAATAATATAATATAATATAACATGAAAAATGAAGCAGTTATTGCTCATGAATTCCCTTTTTCGGGTCAATTATTTATTAGGCTTATAATATAATATAATAAATATAATATAATAAACAAATATTTTCAAAAAACATGAACATGTGAATTATTTTACAGTTATATAAAACACACCTGTGTGTAACTGGAAATGTCTCAGAGTTTTGTTAATGTTCTGTGCTCATCATCCGCTATTTCCAGCACTTAATCAAGCCACTCTTCTTTCAAACATGATGACGTTTTATTTCACATGTTCTGTTTGGATTAGCTCTCGTGTTGAGCTATTTCGTCCGCAACCATTAAAGTATTTGATTTCTACAGTGTAGGGATGGGGAGTTGACTCCAAAAGAGTCAATTCCTCGACTCTGAATAGCCCTAGAGTCGGAGTCGACTCCAGCACTGGAATCGACTCTCGGTGTCGACTCTGAAATCACTGATGTCTTCACTGATTCTCAAATCCCTATCATGTGCATGACAGTTGAGTGCTATATATCAGCAAAGAGTGAACGAAATTAAGCGAGGAAAACGTCCTAAAACAGTATTACTTAAACTGTATGGGCAAGATCTTGAACAGGTTAAGGTTGTAAGATTCTTGGGAGTGTTTTTTGATGAGAAGTTGACCTGGTGTCAACATATTGATAAGGTTAGGAATAAATGTAAAAAGGTAAATAATGTTTTAAGATGTCTATCAGGACAAGACTGGGGAGCAAGCAGGTCATCGCTCATTAACATCTATCAGGCTCTTTTAAGAGCAGCGTTAGATTATGGTTGCCTAGCATATATGTCAGCATCAGAATCAAACCTTAAAAAACTTGATGTGGAACAGGCACAGGCACTTCGGATTTGTACTAGAGCGTTTAAATCATCACCGGTATCTGCGTTACAAGTTGAGACAGGAGAGATGCCTTTACGTATTAGGAGGATCAAGATCATGCTGGCATATTGGATAAATCTACAAGGGCATAGCGAAGTACATCCCACAAAGGCCATCTTACAAGATTGTTCAGAACATAGTAAAAGTAATTATTACAGTTTCGGATGGATAGGAAATGCAAAAGCACAAAACGCAAGCCTCAGCCAGCTCCAAGTAAGCCCCATTGTGGCACTATCAGCTGTGCCACCTTGGAAATTCATAAAGCCATCTGTAGATATAAGCCTTCAACAAATGTTAAAAGAAAAATCTAAAATAATGCCACAGAGGATAATAGTTCAAAATTACATGGACCTTTATCAAGACAAACTATTCATATTTACAGATGGATCAAAGCAGCCAGAGACAGGCCGTACTGGGGCTGCTTTCTCCATTTCGCATTATGAAATAGCAGTTAAAAAAAGAACAGCAGATCATTTATCGGTGTACACAGTAGAGCTTTTAGCAATTTTATTGGCATTACAGTGGTTGGAAGGAAATAAACAGAACCAAAATGTAATCATAGCTTCTGACAGCTTATCTGCTCTATCTAGTATTCAATCTGGGAAAACATCATGTAGACAAGATATCATATACCAGATATTCAACTTACTTTTAATACTGTATGATAAAGGGCTGAATGTTTCCTTCCTTTGGGTTCCTGCTCATGTAGGGGTGGAAGGAAATGAGATTGTAGATATTCTGGCAAGAGGAGCAATAAAGCATGAAACAGTTGATATACAAATACCGTTATGTAGAACAGAAATCAAAACCATTATTAAGGGACATACAAGCAAAATATGGCAAGAATACTGGGACATAACTGATACTGGACGACATCTGTATAACATACAAAAACAAGTAGGCTTAAATAGTATTAGGCAGAGCAGGAATCCAAAGGAAGGAAAGATAATTACACGTCTTAGAATAGGTCATGCTGGTTTAAATTTTACATTACAGAGAATAGGAAAACACCCTACTGGTCTTTGCGACCACTGCAACACACAAGAGACAGTAAAACATATTTTATTAGATTGTAAAAGGTATGAAGAAGAAAGAAGGGAGTTAGAATCACAAGTTGGAAAACAAAACATGACAGTGGGAAATCTGCTAGGGAAAACAATGTCTAGGGAAATATATAATCTCCTAATGAATTATTTGAAAAATACTGGGATAAGTGAAAGAATTTGATGGAGATATATGGGGGGAAGGAGTATGGGTGTATATATATGTATATGTGTGTATGTATGTATGTATGTATATATATATATATATGTATGTATGTGTGTACATATGTATATATATGTGTATAGATAATTTGGGGGGGTTAAAGGAGGAAAAAAGGAAAAATAGTTTTTATTTTTTTTTTATTTTTTTTTATTCTCTCATTGTCCTTTCTCTCAAAGTACTGCCCACACTCCAGTCCAGTAGGTGGCGGTAAATGCACCTTTAAGTTGGTTTGCCAACCGCCAATAAAATTTAAAGAAGAAGAAGAAGAAATTGTATATAAAAACGCGAAATTAATCATTACCGAATGAAATGCTAAAATGTTTTATTTAGTGTGCTCAGTGCGCTATGATCCGCGGCTGTTTATCACCATTATTTTGATTTCAAATTCGAACGTTGTTACTCATTTTTTTTCTCTCTCATTATCTTTTCACACATACATATTCACGTGTAAGCGCAATATTATTAAATGCATTTTACTTCTGTACTGATTTATATATTAAGTTTATATATTAAGATGCTCAAGCAAGTGGCAAAACATGTAAACACAGCCTACAGTCTACTTTTCTTACGTTAAGGTAGTAGGCTATCACAATTTTAAATTAAAACTTACCATTGACAGAAACAGCC